TGGCTCCTGTGAGGACACACCCATGGATCATACACTGAGGAATGGCTCGCTGGCCACTGGCTCTGCCCCTTCGCTAGCCAAGGGCAGCCATTCTTTTTAATTATAATTATTGTTATTTAAAATGAAAGTGTTTTAGATTTGCCACGTGAGGCGCTTTTTTTGTTTTCTTTTCTTTTCCCTCCCCTCTCCCCACCCCATTTTCCCCTCTGGACCCTTCAGCCCATCCCAGGGTGCTGTAGCAAGGCCAGGTTGGAGGTGTTTGGGCAGCTCCTGTTAGCACTGCTGTCCCCATCCTTCCTGCCATGGCACAGCCCTTCCCACCCACCAGATCCTGGCTGCTCTTGCCCTGTGGCTGCTGCTGAGGCCTCTCAGGTGTCACCAGGTGAGGAGCCCTTTGCTCTGCTCCCCACCCTGAACCCCTGGACAGGGGTGGGGTTGTCCTGGATGGTCCTGCCTGGCTCCAGCTCTGGCCCTGTGCCGTTCCCGTGCTGCAGCCCAGGGGGTTCAGTTGCTGCTGTCTCAGTGTCTTTCCCACCTTGTCCTGCTGATCCTCTAAAGACAGGGAGCGTGTCTGGGGCTTAGGGAAGATCCACCTGCAGCACAGCCAGGGCTCCTGCAGGCTCTGACCCTTCTCTGTGCTCAGCCTGGGTGTGCCAGGGCTGCAATTCCCACTCTGCCTCGTCCCCATCCCAGAGCGCTCCGTGCCTGTGTCGGGTTTGCCGTGGGCCTCAGCTCAGCTGCCTTAACCCCAGCCCATCCTCACAGCCTGGCTTTGGGCTGTGTCTGAGGCTTAATCCCAACAGGAGCTTCCCATCTTCACACAGATGCTGCTGGGATCTGGTTCACAGCGTGGGTTTGGAGCTGGTTCCTCTCCCCCAGAGCAAAATGCTGTCACACTGTGACCACCTGAGCTCAGCCTCAGGCCCAGCTGGACATGAGGGGAGCACAGGAGGGAAGGGCAGAGCTTGGCCCTCATGTGGTGTTAACCCTCAGCACATCCCAGATGTTTGTGAGCAGCCTGGAGAAGCTCTTGCTGGGTAGGTGGGAAGGTGGCAATTGTGTGGTCACCTCGATGTCCCTGGATGTCATCCTGGTGTGTCTCTGGTGTGTGGGAGCAGGGATGGTCCAGCAGCAGCTCCTGGGCTCATTCCCAAGGTCAGCTCTGTCCATGCTCCTCCTGCACCACATCCTGGGGCCTCTCCAAACTGCTCTTCCCAGGCTTTCCTATCGGCACTGACACTTCCTCTGTGGGAAGGGGAGGGAAGGAGCAGCCTGTTCCCAGCAGAGCCCACGGCTCGTGCCTTCACCAGCACCACTGACCACAGCAAAAGGGATCAAGGAATCTTTTCCTATGTTGTTTTTCCCCTTTCCATTCCCTTTTTGTTTTAACATCAGATGCCCAAAACGCAGCACGTGAAGTCTCAGAGTCTCCTTAAAAATGCCACGGGAGACTCCTGCACGCCCTGGAACCCCTGGAAGGATTCTCTGAATGTGGCACTGGTCAGGCTGTGTCAGCTCCAGCATTCCCGAGGGGTCTGAGCTCTTTAATTCCCTCCTCATTAGTGGGGGTTCGTTAGCAGCGATGCCGTGGCTCAGGCACAGCCCAGGCCAGGGGTCAGCTCTGCCTTCCCAGCCCTCCTGAAGCACAGAGTGACGTGGGATGGACTGAACTTCATCCAAACACAGGCACTGCTCAGCAGCCTTCAGCTTTCCAAATCCAAAGGGAAATGTTATTCCAGTGAGAGCCTGGGGGAGCACGGATGGGATGGGAAGTGTTGGCATTCCCAGGGTGTCCTGGGGCTCGGGATGCTCAGGGAGTCAGATCCCCAGGCTGGGAATTCTGCTCTCCCTTGCTGAGTTTTGATTTGAGGCCAGTTGAGATCAGAGATCATCAGAACAAATCCAGCTGCTCTTCCTCCCTCTCTTTGCCCTTTTCCCAAGCTGTTTTTTTGCTGGGAAGGTCCCCCTGTCCACTGTGCTGGAGCAGGGACAGGATGTGCAGGGATCTCTCTGTCATGGGATGAATTCCTCCTTGCTGAGTGCCCCTAAAGGGGAAAGATTTGGGATGAAGGGGTAAAGAGGCTGCTCCTGGGAGATACTTGGGCAGCAGCAGCGTAGGGAGGGATGGAATTCTGTGGGGAAATGAAATGCCAGCAGGAACATCTTCCCCACCCACAGGGCTGGTGCTGCCCCTCCCAGAGCTGCTGCAGCTCCTTCCCAAATCATCCCAAACACCACGGAACCCCTGGAGTACAGGATTGGCATTCACAGCCAGCTCTCTGCTCCTGAGACATGCCAGCACCTGGGAGGAGAGGGGGCTTTTCCAGAGAGTGCTCCTGCCCGTGCCACCATCCCAAACATCCTTTCTTGCTCCCACCCGTCGTTCTCCCGGGATTTTCAGGGCATCCCAGGGTCACTCCGAAGCTCAGGTTTGGTTGGATGATCCATCCCAGCTCCTGGGGCCCGTGGCCTCCACCATCCCAGCCCTGAGGAGACAGGAAGGGCTCTTGGCAGCTGCCCCTGTTCCCTGTTCCAGAGTTTCTGCTGCTCCCCCCGGGCACGGAGCGAGGCCTTTCCCGCTGTAAATAGCAACGACCGAGGTGACACGGCCCCTGCCCTCCCCTTGTGAAATCCCACGGTGCTGTGAGCACCAGGATTTCAAATCCAACAGGAACTGAGAGACAAGGAACACTCCTCCTTCGACACGAGCACAATGTTGAGTTTTTTGTAAAAGGTTCCAATAAATGGAGAGTTTAACTTGGGAGCGTCTCGGTGCCTCTTTGCTGGGGCTGGGAGAGGGGCCCAGCACGGGGCTGCTGCTGCTCCTGGCCCTGGGACACCCCAAAACCAAACCAGGCATCTCCTGGGCTTCTGTCCCCATGGGGCAGGTGGAATGCTGGAAACTCCTCAGGGATGGCAGTGCCTGCAGCTAAACCCCATCGTGGCCCTGGTGAGCTCATGGCTGGGCCAGGAGAGCTCATGGGAGGGGCTGGACCCTGCGTGGCTTCCAGGGCCATCCCATGCCATCCCATGCCATGCCATGCCATCCCATCCCAGGGATTCAGAGCCCAGAACCTTTGGGGACAGCTCCTGTGGCACTGCTGGCTAAGGATGCTCCTGGTCCCTCCTGTGCAGGAGGCTGAGGTGGGAGAACCAAAGGGATCCATGAGGTTTGTAAAGAGATTCCCAGCTTCAAACCTGCAGGGAGGAGCAGAGGGAGGAATGGAGCCAGCTGGGCCATGAGCCATGGGATCCCCTCCATGCTGGGCTGGGAATCCCCCAGGATTTCCTGCACGTGCCTGGATTTCCTCTCTTCCCTCCTGCTGCCTTTTGTGTTTTGCCCTCCCTCCTGAGCAGCTGCTTCCTCCGTGGTCACTTTTTACCTCTGTTACCATTTTTCCTCTCCTTTCACTTCCTGCCCTTGCTGCTGCTCCCACTGGGAATTGTGTCCTTTCTCTTCCCTTCTGCCTTGGGTTAGTCTTGCTTTGTGCTCGGGTTTGTTTCCAGGAGAGGTTTCAGGGAAATCCCAAAGGATTTTAGTGCTGGAGGGAGGAGGTGGATGCTCAGCCTCCCAAATTCCTGTGATTTCTCCCCAGAACACTGCAGGCAGGCAGGGCCCTCCCTGGCAGGGCAGGGCACAGAATTCCCCACTCCAGGACCCTGGCCTGGCAGCAGCAGTGGGATTTTGGTTTGGGGTCTGGCTCCCAAACGAGCCCAGCAGCATTTTGGGCACGGACTCAGCTGGAGCCCATTTTCTCCTGAGGCTTTTCCTGAGGTAAAAATTCCTGATCAGTATTTTTTCCTGCTGTAACTGCTGTGTTTGGTGAGAGGAGCCAAAGCTCCGGTTCCATTTCCGTTTCTCTGTGAGGGTTTGTGCCCTGGGATGAGGAAACAGAGGCGATAAATCCTGTTAATAATTCATTCCCTGCTCCCAGAGGAGGGCAGGGTGAAGTGCTTTACACTCCACTCCTCTGCACTACAGAGTGCCCTCCATTTTCCCTTCTGGGGATCACTCCTTGATAAAAAGCAGTTTCACTGGAACTGCTCCCGTTCTGCCCAGCAGTGCCATGAAAGCCACCAGCTCCTGCTGGAGGCCAGGAAAGGACCTGCTGCCACCCTTCTGGGTGAGTGGCCCCAGGTGACGGCTCCTTGAGGGAGGACCTGTCCCCTTC